TGCTGATATACAGTTATATCAACACGAGTGGAAATTGGGAAAACGAGAAATTGTATGGAAACACGACGCCCGAAGGGCGGAGTGTTTTCACAGAATATCGAGTTTTCCCAACTTCCACAAGTGTTGATATAACTATATATCAATGCGGAAAAATGTTTTATATTTGTTTTATTATATAGCAATGTCAAAAGCCGACGTTCAGAATTTACAAATGCTATATTATAATCTTAATTAAGACATTACGTAATTATGCTGACTAATGGTTTTGCTATATTTATCTTATACGTGATCTAAAAATAGCGTTTATGTAATATTCTATAAATATCTTTCGGATAGTATATAAGTAGAGAAAGCTTAAAGTGCCTATATCACTTGTGGGATCTTTACGGATTTGAAAAGAGCGCAAAAAGTTATTTAACAAGTTCTTCAACCTTTTTTGATTTAGGTCAATAGTTTCTGAGATATCGGCCCTCAAACATGGCAATTTTGACATTTTTGGGAAAAAAATCCGTCGTACTAAATTTTGCTTGGGGGCCTGGGACTCAGGAACGCGAGCGTAAACAAACACTATAAATTATATTACAAATTGCCGCTATAACTTACTAAAATGATAATTTTGGCAAGAAAACTCGGTTTATTTAGCTCAAAATCGTCTTCCAGTGCTGACAAAAGTTCATATACGATTGCGCGAAATATAAAATCGTGGTGAAACGCACAAAACGACTTCAATATCAAATTTGAAAGTGAGCCTTCCTAAATGTCGTCAAGCATTGGCTGCATAATTGTCGAGCATGAAAGAGTTGGCATACACTGAAGAATATGTTTTGAAAGCTAGAAGAATATAACAGGGATGTAAAGAAATTATTTATAGATGGAACGGGCATAATCGTGTTAGTTCTCGGTAAGTGAATCGAATATTTTCCATTTGTAAATATCGTGTGATAGTCGACTCATTTGGCAATTAATATTCTGCGACTGCAAGTAAACAAACGAAAAATTGTGTATTTTAGATTCAATACTATTATAGCTTAACTATTGAAAAACACTATAAAATTTGATATAGACAAGGGATAACCGGTTTGATTTGCCATTCACAAAATAATTATGCAGGAATTGATTCTATTTGCCTCAATTGCTTTTGATCTGATCATTTGAAAAGCTTTATTGCACAAACATGTGGTATAAGCTGATTCAAAGGAGAAGTAATTTTTTTAGTCTTAACTTAATATTTTTATAAACTTTGGACATATTCAGTTTAATAGGACCATGCAAAGTTTCTGTTTATTATAGGAAAAGGTTAATGCACCTTGCTAATGTCAAGGCAAAGCTTGAGCTGCACAGATTACTGTGTCTTGACTCTTGAATAAGCTGTATAACAGATCACTGGTTTGCCTCATCTTTACTTGATTAAAGAATACATTATTAAAGTCTAAGGTATAATTATATCTCTACTTTTAGGTCTTTATATCAGTAGCATACATGTGATTCACCAGATTAGCTCATGGTTGTAAAAAAGATGAAATAATACCATTGTGTTCTGTTTATCAAACTATCTGCAGTTTTTAATGGGAAAGATGATGACTTCAAAGGATATGAATATTTGGAAAATGAGAAATAAGAAATATAATTTTAAAGCACGACTAACCACAAATATGATTTTTGGTATGTGCAATATATGTGTCATTCGTTCGAAGAAATGTTATCTCTATAATAAATAATCCCTTCTTCATCGACCTTTTCACTGTCAAAGTTTCCAGATATGATGTCATTAGGTGAATTTTTACTATAAAGATACATTACATTTCTTATTAGAATTTTGACCCAAATATCACACAAACCAAAAATTCTATTTGGCGTTAATAGTCCAACTTTAATTAATTTAATGGATGCTTGATTTTTTTGTCATTAACTTGCATTTAATAAAGTTACAGCACACATAGTGCACAAATAATATCTTAGTTTATTTTTAAAAAAAAAAATCAACAGACAAAGGAGTCAAAGTCATGAAAAAAAGAACTGAATTCATGCTACTGTGTACAGGAAAATGTTTATTTAAAAACTTGATCAACAAGAACAGCTTAGGAAGACAGGTTATACAGAATTGAATAATAGTTGAAGGGTCTTGTATAGATGGAAATTATCGAGTAGAAGTTTATATGCATTTATTATACCTAACCAGGAAAAGTTGTGAAAAATCGAAATGCAACTGCTGATCGCTGGCAGAAATCCAACCTGCCCTGCAATTCCGGTGCAGCGTTGCTGTAACCAATATATACAGGGGTGGAAAAAATAGGTGAGCACTGCTCATGCGCAGTAAATGTTAAACAGCTGCAGGAAATTTGTTTGAATGAAGATTTGCTATTGATTAACATTTGAAGGAAACCTTAACAACCATGTCCCACTATGGGTGCAACAACATATGGTTGACAGACATTATTCCTTGAATTTAAAACCATGGTCAGCTAGAACACTATATGTTTATGCACATGCAGATTTAGCACAAAAATACTCTAATACTAATAAAGGAAATTTTTGTCTCCAGGTTGTGCTCCCGGGAACCTGGCTTCTCACTCAATTCAATAATAGTTGAAGGGTCTTGTATAGAAGGATATTTAATAAATGTATATAAATTTCCACTCAATAATTTTCATCTGTACAAGACCTTTCAAACAGGGTCAGCCCTGCAAACCAGGCACACATAAACTGGCCTGGATCCTTGCAGATGTCATCATGGCTCCAACCCTCACAAGTTCAGGTTGTTTGGCAAGGGTTGGAATGTTGGGAGCTTTACCATTTAATAACAGCAAAGCCATAAATTCAAGCCAAGTATTTATATATTGGTCTATTGCAGCAATAAAGCTAATACAATCATTGAATCATGAAATGTATTGTGATTTTCAACAGTACAAAATAGAATCGAAAAAGCTCCTCCTTTACTTAATTTTTATATCCCAATAATTCAAGCTGCAAAACATAATTACTCAAAGACAACCCAAAATATGGTATTAAATTGCAAATGGCAAATACATTTACATATAGAAAATGGCAAAACATTTACATATAGAAAATATATTATTCACTTTAATACGAAGAACTATCACGATATACTGTACATGTAAGGTCCGTTTCATGTGAAAATGAATTTCCTTATTTCCTTGTTATATTCTTCCAACTTTCAAACGTATTCTTTGGCCCATATTTCGTCAGTGTAGCTTTAAATGCCAACATTTTCATGCTCGACGAAGCTAGATGCCATCTACGAAGGAGCACTTTCAAATTTGATTTTGAAGTGGTTTTGTACGTTTCACCTTCAGTTTTATATTCAGCGCAATCGTAGGAACTTTTTTCAGTACCAGAGAACGATTTTGAGCTTAATAAACCGACTTTTCTTGCAAAAATTCTCACTTTAGTAAGTTACAGCGTCAAAATATAATACAATTCTATAGTGTTTGTTTACGCTCGCGTTCCTGAGTCCCAGGCCCCCAAGCACGACGGATTTTTTTGAAAATTGTCATGTTTGAGGGTCAATATCTCGGAAAATACTGAACCAAATCAAAAAAGGTTGAAGAACTTACAAACTAACTTTTTGTGCTCTTTCCAAATCCGTAAATATCCCACAAGTGATATAGGCACTTTAATTCATCGACATGTTTAACGAGCGATGTAATATTAAGATACCAACTCTGAAACCCTTAAGAGTTTTTAAAACTTCAGCGGGATTTAAAATATTATCCGAAATTTGCGGTGATATATCAGGTGGACAATCATACACCTCAACCGTCTCACTATTCGTTCTAAAACTGCCGCTAAAAGTTGGAAATTGGATACCTTTAGTAGACCTAAAAGCAGTGGTTAAAAAACTGTATAAAGTTCTTTGCAAAGCAAGCTGATCTAAATTTGTTTAAATGTAAATTGGATTTATTTAATGAACGATCAGTAATGTTTTTATGCTTAATCAAGTGCATGTTTATCGCTGTACAATAGTTTTCAAAGAGGGTATTTACCTCAGTTACAGTTTTCTTGGCTTCCGGATTATCTTCTCTCGTTGTCAACTCAGAGACCGTAATTTCAACCCCTGGACTTGTTTCTTTAATCTCTTGACACAAAGAGTCAATATCATCCATGACTTTGCTTACCTTGTTGCCTTTAACATCGTTTGTTCCGACGTGTAAAACTATGGTGTCTGGGTTTCTTCTCAAAATCGGTCTAATATAATCCTTCACGTCTTGAACTGTAGCTCTAGGAAAGCACCGAACGCCAATGTTCTGTTTGGTAGCTCTGCTTAACTTGGACTGATCTTATCCTTTCACAATCGAATCTCCAACTATAACAGTTCTGCCTTTCCCTTTGCATTGTCGCGATTTACTGGTCTTTCCTTGTGCTGTATTTCGTCACGCTTCGATTCATTCAATTCGTCAACATCAGGGCCATTTATACGGGACAAAATAAGTCGCGACTTACATAAGACGCGTCTTATATAAGCGGAGTTATCGCATAAATGGTTCTCTACGGCTTTAGTTTTATTTATTTGCTATAGCTATGTTGTTGTTTCGGTTGTTTTTGTTTTAATATGCAAGGCTAATAATTTTACGTTGTTTCAAGTTTCTGGCATGTGTAGTTAGATTTTTTGTCCAAAATTTCATATTTAAGACGCGACTTAAATAAGAACAGCTAAAAGTCCTGTTCTTATTTAAGTCGCGTCTTATCCAAGACGCGTCTTACATAAGAATTTTGTACCTTTTATACGACAAACTCGCGTCTTACTTAAGTCGCGTCTTACGTAAGTCGCGTCTTATTTTGTTCCGTACAAATGGCCCTATTGTTCTCATTAGACTCATTAGGGTCTAATATTATCTTATCTTCTAAAACAGAGTAGCGATTGCGGCAAACGCAGCTAGCAGCATCGGCGGGCTTCCCAGTAGATTTGACATTTTTTACATTTCGTTTTGGTTTCTTAAAAGTTTTGCAGCTGTATTCATCTTGCCCACTAGATTTATCACCGATGATTAGAGAAAATGCTATCCTGTGTGATATCAGCCAATTGTTTTGTCGACGACGATGGAACTTGCTGTTCATTTATTCGCTGCCTGACAGCTTTGCTATACTCAATAATAATATGTTTGATTTCAGCTTTGCCCCCGTCCCACCACTCCCCAACATCACTAAATAACATCTTCGGCTCAGTCCAGTCTGACAAGAAAGATATAATCTCAGTTCGCAGATTTTCATGCTTGAGGAGAGAAGTGTTCATTTTCCAAACACCCCGGACCCACGTAAGAACGTGATGCGTATCAAAAATATGAAAGGAAACCAAATCATGATCAGATAAGTGACATGATTGAATCCCAGTTACTATCTTACTATCATCCACCAAATCCACAGAAATGTAAAATTTATCCAACCGCGACATTATAGAACGGTCCGCGTTGGACCAGGTACAAGTTTTCAATGATGGATGTTGATGTCTCCAGATATCAATCAAATGATATTTTGATAACAACCGCTTCAATTCTGGGCTACCAATACTCCCGTGAGGATTTCCACCGAAACGGTCCATATCTATATCTAAAACCAAATTAAAGTCCCCGCTCATGATTACTTTATGGCGGGTTAACAAATATTTGTCCAGCTGCGACACATTACAACACGCGCCCGGACTAAGTGTGTAATTTTCGCTAGCAATGTGATATGGGATGGGTCAATGCTTCATTTGCTATGATTGGCTAATGACTCTGCCGTTTCCGTGGCAACAAAGTAGTTTCCTGTTTCACATACGCTTGTCGTCGCGAACATTTTGCCCTTCGGGCAAATGAACTCTCGTGATTATTCAACTAAATTGACTGTAGGTATTTGCGTGAGGCGACTTACCTAAACATTTTGCCATTGGCTTAAACTCACCGCTGTTGTTATTATTATTTCACTAAATGGTCAAAGGGCCGTATTTCCGTGAAGAAATTCAACCGATCTGTACCAACGGTAGGAGCAAAAAATATTGACAACCCGCAAAGGTGTTCCATTAAAAGTCAAATCGCAAACACACACTCTACCGTCAAAGTAAACATCAAACGAGATACCTTTGAATTTCGCAGGATCACGGATTAAGATACCAACACCCCGACTATGAACAGTTCCAACACTCCAAAATCCTCGACATCGACATTCAGCATTTCATTGCATGCATTCCCGGTTGTTGAGTATCCTGGTGTCTTGCAACAATGCAATATCATAGTCATAACGATTTAGATCAACAAACATTAAACTACGACGTTTAGGATCTCTCGTGTCATCCACATTCAGGGATACTACCGATAGCGAAGAACTCACCATCACTTAGGTTTAGGTTTTTTCCGTACCTCTGTCCACGTACTGCCATCCGGTCCGCGTGGGTGCTGCAACTCAGGGAAGTTCTCTCGGGCGTGACCAAACTTGCCACAGCGAAAACATTTGAAACACTTATCACGAGTATGTCCAGATAAACCACACTTAAAACAAACTACATCATTCAGACACTCATTCTCAAGATGGCCCAATAAACGGCAACGAAAACATTGAGGGAGTTGACCTTTATGTTTTATTTCCACCGGGAAGTGTCCAATTCTTGACTTTTGTGGGATATCGGTTTTAATGTCAGTCATCTTGGCGACTTTTGTTCCCGTTTCAATCGTGGGGAAGCCATACTCCGTCGTCATTTCGCGTGTTATCGTCTCCACTTTCCCATGATTACCAAGAAACTCCGCAACAACTTTATTTGGGCACTTCAATAGGAACATAGAACACTTTCGCCTCCACAATTGGGTTCTCAATCGGCTGCACTTCAATTTCCACATCCTTAATGTTAAAAGGCTGAGATAAGAAAGTCAGTTTAGCTTCATTAGTACGAGATGTGACACTATATCGACCATAGGGCATTGACTGCACAGCTTTAACAACATCCACGCCAACAACATTAACAATTGCTTGAATAACATCCTTTACGGCAAACCTTCCAAATGGTTTGTATGCAATACAACCGTATTTGGACGACGCAGCCTCGGCTCACCCTGGCGAATAGGATGGAACCCTTGGCTGCTCCCCACCATTGACACGAACAGCTGCAGCAAAATCCACCGCGGCTGCCTGACCAATCGTTGCTACGTTAATCGTTGCCTCACCATCCATCACTTCCTCAACTGCTGCTTCACTCCATTGCGTAACTACTTGCTCCCCCAACTCTTCTTATTCTTCCTCCAATGCGATCGACTTTGTCTGTTCTTCTCGTCTTCTTCTTGTCTGTTTGACTGTATTGTTGATCCAATAAAACTAGATTCGGCGGGTGCCTGAGGCACTGCCAAAAACGGTCACCGTGAGTCCTTTCAGTTCAAATTTTATAGAGAAATAGTTTCGATTTACGCATGTGTAGACCACACCATAAGTTCTATTCCCGTGTTTATCCAGTTTAATACGCTCTTTGAATTAACTGTATTTATTCATTATATTTGGGATATTTTGTGGACGAGTGAATGATATACATAGCTACTTCACCACTTCATCTTGTATTTAGTATCACTAACAGACAATATTATCAGTCTATTTGTCGATTGCACATAGCAGAACGACAGTCACTTCAGATATCTTTAAAATATATCAAAGTACCGAAAATATAATTAGGTGCATATAACTGATCCATCATTAGTAATAGTTGTGCCACAGTCGAAGAATGTAATGAGTGGACAGTTGGAAAATTGTTGTCTAGCAGTTTAGTACAGTAAGAACCATCCATAAAATGCTTAGCAGTATCAAACAAGTGAAAGTTGGCCGCGGTATTCCCATGCTATGCATACGAAGTATTGTACACTGTAACAACATATACTCGAGAATAGTTATCCAGCTAAACATGTATGTCAAAATTAATTGAATTGAATTTATTAATAAAATATAGACTTTGCGACCATAAAGGTTGAAATACATCTATCATTTACAGGGTTGGTTGATTAGAAAAATATTGTATATTTACAAAAACGTATTTACTATAATATAGGAAGAGTTTAGGACTTCTAGTATGATATTACCATTATTTACAAATAAAAATGCATGTAATTTATAGTTACTCAATGTTTATTATAAATCGTTACAGACGAGGGAATGTACGAATTTTTGAAGCGATTTGTCCGACAATTAATTGGAACGAGTTTATTCGATGTGCGTAGATTGTAGCTTGGATGTTCGGCTGGTTCAACTAGTTCGGAAAGAGGACTAGTTTGCGGAAGAACCTTTTTTCTAAAAAATCTTGAACATAACAGTTCGGATTGTTTACATAACAACTTGGATTGTTTTTCCAAAAACAAACGAGGATTTCTTTGCATGCATTAAACATGGGGGTTTAAGGACATGTTATTTCTTGCACACCACTGCATAATTCCTTTTAAAATAGTTTGAAAGTTCGAATCTTTGTTTCTAGAAAGGGTTTCTGAAACAGACGAATCGTCAACATATTTCCATCTATCGTCCCAATCAACCAACAAATCGTTTATCATAATCATAAATAGAATCGGACCTAAGACAGTGCCTTGTGGAACCCTACCGTTCACTGGTTCGAAACTTGAGGTGTATTTACCTATCTTCACTCGCTGTTTCCTGCCAGTAAGAAACTGTTTTACCCATGCGATAAGAACGGGATCGATGGCCATTTCCTCCATCTTCTTGATTAGAATATAGTGATCAATCTTGTCGAAGGCTTTACTAAAGGCCAAAAGCAGTACCCGCACGCATTGGTCAGAGTGGTCGGTAGTTCCATACAGATGATGAAAAAAGGATAGAAGAGCGTGAGTTGTGGATAAGCCGGCGAGTGATCCGAATTGCTTTCTGTCAACGAGGTGTCTGATCTGTGACATAATCCACTCTGCGACAAAATGTTCCAAGGTTTTTGAGAGAATTTGTGTTAGAGATATTGGGCGTATAGATCATTTTCAATTTTCTTAACCTTATCTGTTTTACGAATAGGTATTACATCTGCTTCTTTCCATGAAACGGATACGACTCTCTCTTGGATTGATGCGTTAAAAATTTCAGCAACGGGTGATGAGAGTTCCATGGCAAACTCATTTAAATTAACACCCAACTTGGTAAGTTGTCAGGACCCGAGGCTTTAGTGCGTTTGAGGTTGGAGAGTTTCGTAAAAACATCTTCAGGAGAAATGTGGTATTTTTAAATAATTCCGTTAACCGTTGAAATAATTCCGTTAACTACTGCAGGGTGTTAATTCAACGTTTTTCAATTCGCTGTTTAGAGGTGGTAGAGGGTTTGTGATACACAGGAAGCTTTCGTTAATTTTTGTTGCTAATTCGGTTGAATGGAATTCTTCGCCCGATACAAAAACACTGGATACTGGTAATTTCTTAGGAAGTCCTCCAAGTTGTTTAATGGATTTCCACCAGGAAGCTAGCTACATTGTCCCAGTTTTTTACCTTATTTGCAAAAAAGGAATTCCTAAGACTGTTATTTAGCCTGTTAACTTTATTTCTCATTTTTTTGTAAACAGGAGGGTCTTTGGACATTGCTTGTTGTCGTTGCTGGATTAGACTCTTCAGTTCAGGAGTAATCCAAGGCCTGTCTATTGGGTGTTGTTTGATTTTTCGGAGTGGGAAGAAAGTTTCAATAGCAAAATTTAGCAAAGATTGGAAAGCAGCGAGTTTTTCCGTACAGTTTCATAGTGTTTCAAGGAATGACCAATCAGTAGATGCTAATTAACATCTTCCAAAACAGGACTTCATGCTTGGCTTTACATTCCTTTTAAAAATTTATTCTACTTTCGTTTTGTGAGTTCTCCTTAAAAAAACGAATAAGTAAGGAGTTATGGTCACTTAAGCCGATTCCGGGTAGAATTTGAGGAGTGTTATAATGGTGAAACAGGTTGGTGAAAATTAGGTCGAGGATTGCAGCACCGCGTGTTGGATTTTTAACGGTTTGTCGCAGGTTAAAATGGTTACTAATATATCGGTAATTTAAAGGTAGGTTACAGTCCCTTCTGCGCATGCGCGCGCTTTGTTTACGTTTTTTGTTTTGATGCACATTAATTATATAAGATGAAGTATATGACGAGTTCAAAGTAACATTCCACATAATTTGTGACCGAGGAGTGCAATGTTTGACAATACTTCGCTTTCTTTCTTGTACATTTCTACACTGGAATTTTTTGTACATAATAACACAATCTTATACTGTAACTGTAACTGTTTAACTGTGAACACCGTGAATAAAGTTCTAAAGAGGCCGCTTTGAACCTTGTGTGACTTGCTATATCAACAGCTGGGGCGGCGAACCGAAATTCCGAAGGTGTGAGTTCGAATAATTTGTGTTTACCTTTGGAGTTTGTGTCTCATCATGAAAATAGTTAATATGGAATAATGCGGTATCAATCCCTCGAAACATGTTGCCAGTGTTGTTGTTGTCATTATGACGGAAGCGCTTGGGAAAAGCTTTTCGCTTGACGAAATTCGAAACAAGTATGATTGAGAAAGTGGCTGCAGTTCCTGTCTTTGTGGCAAAGCCAAGGGCGAAATTTTTGACCGTGCAAAAGCTGGATAAACAGCTTTTGTTGAAGCTCTTTTCCGCTATGGAGATGATTTCGTTGTAAACAATAGAAGAGTAAAAGACTGACAGTGACGAGAGTACGAGATGCTAAGATTATATTCAACTTTTTTGTGTTATAAAAATGTATGTTTTGAAATTATGAACTGGAAGTATGAATTCATTCATATTACTCTCATATTGACACTAAATGATGATATTCTTGTGACACTGAATGATCTAATAGTAATATTAAATTAACTTCAACAATTCTCAGTGACAGTGGTCAATCTAGTGATCACGTTAGTTCATCATGTCTCTTCACAGGACAATAGCTAAATATAATTATGTTTGTTTCGCTCTATATCAGAGCTCATCAGAATGCTCAGGAAACACTGATGAAATTTTTATTTACATCAACAAATCTTTCTTTTTCTTAACAGATTTATATATGATTTATTATATATAAATGATTTACAGATTTATAACAGATTTATGATATGATAATACATATAATTTATAAACAATTATTATTAACACACATATATCCAAGGGGATAGGCATGCATATGACTCAAGGGCTTATGCCCCCCTGAAAATACTGAATATACTAAATATAATTACAGTTTGTGACATGAACAGTCAGGTAAGCATCATTCACAGAAGAACCTGTTTAGGCTAACTTGGAAAAATCTAGGTTCTTATTATATGCAGGGTTTTACTGTGTTGTCTGATTTCTCCTCACAAAACAGGCCATAGCAGCTTGTTCTGACAATATATATATATATATATATATATATATATATATATATATATATATATATATATATATATATATATATATATATATATATGGGATGGTGCCACTCTTTGTGACACAAGATCAGGCAATCATAGTACAATATGAACTGGGTTGTGTTTCAGATTGCTTTGTGTAGGAGGCAATCCATCTAGGAGAAAGAAAGCTCGGATTTCAAACCCCCAGACCCCACCTTTGGGCAATACAGGTAGTGACTACATGATCATTAGAGCTTAAAAATTAGGTTAAATTCTTAAAGAAAAGCGACTTTTTTGGTATTTGCATGAGGTATAATTTACATGTATATACATGTATATAAATTGTGCACAAATTATCTAACTAATAGCTATACTGTAAAGCTGCTAACATGCACTTTATGTAAAGGTGCTAACATGTACTCAATGACATTTTCAGTGTTCTGGATTATTTTCATTACTTTGTGAAGAGTTTATTTTCTTTGATTTATATACATTTTTAGATTTGATTTGTCTTCATGTGATAAAATAAGAACCTGAAATGTTAGCCTAAACAAATTCTTATTTTAGCGTGTCTAAAATAAAAAAATTAGCCTAACAGGTTCTTAAATTGTAGGTTCTTATATGCAAGTTTTTAGTCACAATTAGGGTGGAAAAATATACTAGTAATTATTAGTTGAGTTTGTTTACATCATATATAAGTTTCTGTGATCAAAATGTTTTATAAACTAAATGTCTTAGAGGCGAGCCAGCCCTGTTACCTGAGCTAATTTAATTTAATTTTTAAACGTCAATTTTTAAACCTTATAGCAAAGTGTGTTTATAGTTAATCGAACTACGAATCAAATTTTATAATCGCTGACTTTTTAACAGCTATCAGCACAAAAAATCTTACTTTTGCTGAATTAACGTCGGCAAAAATTTGCCGACCTGGGAGGTTGATAAGTCGGCATTTAGGTCGGCATCGCCAAATGCCGATCTCGTTTTCGAGGGCTGTGCTTTGATTAAAATATACTTTGATCAGAGAAACGTTTTATGTGTTTCTATTAAGTGAGCACAAGTTGTCCATGAAAAGACAGTAAAGCACGGTCAAGAAGATGAATTTATATCATTTATCACTCTGACAATAATATATAAACAGCCATCCAAAACATGTTGACTCCAAATTGCTCATTAACACTTTTTCATTAACAACTCCTACTCACAAGTATCATATCTTCAGGCCTTAAAAGGTGGAATGACCCTCAAATGTTTCTCAAATTTTTGAAAAAATTAAATTTTTTTTTGTTTGTTTTATATGATGCCTATGTTATCAAAATATACTCCTATGTTGCTTTCTCCGTGATTTTATGACTAAAATGTATTTATTTTAAGGGTTTTTTACTGGATGTTCACTCGTTGCTATGGAAACAGATTTGTTTACCATTTGTTTTTTGCCTATAAAAGCGAATTTATTTACAAAATTTTCGGTAAAAAGCGTGGGGTATTTAGGGAAGACTGGGCTCTAATCTAAGCTTTTCCCCAGGCCCCCTACGAAACGCGCAGACGAAAAAAAAAAAAACATTCTTTCTAACATTGTGAACGAGAGTTATTTTGCGAAAATAAAATGGGAAAATTTGCTACACAGAAGCTTAAAAAACGCCAATTTTGTGCCAATCGACATACTAAACGTTCTCGTGTTGAATATGAGGGAGAGGGCGAGCCAGTAATGCAAGAAAATAACGAGGAAAGCGAGGTTTCTTTGAGTGCTGATGAGGGCAACGTGGCGCTATTCCAGCTGGAATTTCAGTGTCCTACAGGAAGCTTCAGCCTCGTGTTCGGCAGAATTCCGGTGAGAAAAGAACCCCTAAACCTTCAACAAAAAGTTCTCAAGGCACTTATGGATTCAGGCTTTGTGATATGGAACTTATTGGAAATGTTTTTTCCATATTTGTCAGCTTCCCAGAATGTATACAACACAATGGAAGAAAATAGTATCAAACGTAAAGATTGTGCTTCTAAACTCCACCTCACTTGCCAACACTGCAAATGGATGCATTTGTCTTGGATTTCAAAACGAAAAACAAAAGAGTTTTGAAGTAAATTGACGATTAGTGTATGGAATGCGCATGATTGACAATGGTCATGCTGGTGCATCAAAGGTTTGCTCTGTCATGAACATGACACCACCACCTAGACCAAAGTCTTTCAAGAAGTCATCTCATGTCATTGCTAAGCATGCAAAGACAGTTGCTAAGAAGAGCATGAAAGCAGCTGCAAAAGAAGTGTGTGTTTTGCAACAAAATGAAGATGTTGGTGGAACAAATCCTGTAGACTGTGGTATTTGATGTGACGGTACCTGGCAACGAAGGGGACATTCATCATCTAATGGGTGTGTTACGGTTATGTCGATGGATACCGGGAAAGTTCTTGATGTTGAGACACTGAGTCACTAACTACATTTTGCAAAAGAGGCAATCAGTGAACTTTTTCCAGTGAACTACTGGATATTACTCCTGGCAAGTATACAGAAGTGGCTTGTCAACTTGAAGACAAGTTGAGAGTTTTGCATGCAGAACACAAATCCACGCCTGAAGTTAAAAAGAGGCGTAAAGTGATGAGAGGACTGAAAAAAACAAAAGTGTGACAAAAACAAACAGGAGGAGGGAGTAAAGTATGGTGTGGAGAGTTCATTGACTTTTAGGGACATGAAGTGTTTTTGGTAGCCAATTACATAGTATGAAAAGTTTAAACTGTATTTTCTCCAATAAACGATTTTCGCAAGGTTTGTAATCTGCCAACAATGATATCTCAAAAACAATTTAACAGATTTGGCTAAAATTTTCAGAGGATGTTTACTTCATCAAAAGCTATGCAATGAATGAAGTCATTAGGTCAAATACTTTTTGTGCTATAAGCAAAAATTCATGCTGATCATGATTAAATTTCAGGCACACATATTGTTTCATTCAGAACTTAGAAACTATTTATCTGATTTAAAATCTTTTAGTTCATTGCATGGGTCTAGTAGTGCTTATTATTTCCCCAAAGTTTCGTAGACAAATCTTAAATTGCTTTCGAGTTATCATCGTTGGCGCAATGGTCCGCTGCAAGGCGTGTCAAGCTGTTATCTTGGTAACCATGGCAACAGCATATGTCAAACTCACATAAATGTAAATACTTTTCTATGGGCTTTCATAATATACCATTTAAACTTTATTTCTAGTTTTAAATATAAAAAAAAAATTTTGAGGGTCATTCCACCTTATTATATGCATGGTTTCAGTTTGTAAATAAAAGAGATAGAACAGTTCGTATGTAATAACGATACGGTATAATTAGAATTTAAAATAGTAAATAAAGATAATTTTATAGTCATTAATTAAAACCTCGATTGATGGACTTCAACAAGCGATTTCACTGAAGGATCCACAGTGAAGGGAGTGAATAGCAGCTATGTTGGGTGAAATGTCCTACCATTCTTGAATTCTTTTCTTGAAAACCTTTAGTAGAAGCATCAGGATGTAGGTATATCAGAGAAACGCAGACAGAAATGGCACGCTCTCCATCGAGGAAAACAATAAAATAGATACACTTTGATACACTTTGGAAGCATCCCTGCTAGCGTGGTATTCTTTCCTACTCGTCATGTTGCCTCAAAAACTCGTTATTTGACGGATTGTCGCTCAAAAAAGCTCAATATATTTTGGAAACTTCTAGCTTCACTCCTTCGCTTGCGAAAAAAACAACGCGCGTGTTATTGCTAGAAATGAGACTGGAGCGAGTACAAACCGAGTTGCCCAACTTCCGGTGGAGTCCCCAGGCAAAAACAATTACAGACATGCGCAGAAGGGACTGTAATCTACCTTTAAACGATTAAAATCGCCAACCAACATAATTCCAGCATTAGGATATTTGTTCAGAGCAGCATCCAATGATGAAATTAGGTGATCCGTAAAAGTAGCATCATCGTCTTGTGGTGGGTGGTATATAATACCCGATAATTAGGCAAGAAAAGCCTCGTGGGAGTCTGTTCAGACGGAGGTATACCCAAAGAGATTCAAATGGGGAATCATTAAGTTCGTCAATTGTTGTGAAATCAATTGATTTGATTTCCGTACAAACACCACCACCACGTTTACAGCGCTTCGATCTTTCCGTACTAGCGTGTAATCACTAATGTCGACTACTGAGTTGGAAATATTATTGGTAAGCCAAGTTTCTGTAATACAAACTATATCCACGTCGTTTTGGTTAATGACAACTTCCAGATCCTCAATTTTATTAACGATCTGAAAGGAACAAAGAGGGTAAGAAACTTTTTGTAGTAGGACGTAGCATTCGCGATCGGTGAGTTGCAATTGATTGGTATTAAGTTATTCAAGTTTCTTCTACGCAAGGTTTTCCTCACGGGTATGCAGTCATTACGCATTCTTTGCTTTGGACTTTGTTGACGATTTCTCGTTGAGATTCTAACTGGTATAGTGTTTCGTTCCAGAGTGATTATAGTGTTGTTACTAGCTGCGACAGAAGTCTCCAATTCAAAATTATCACACCTTCTGGTTTTAAATCAACAATTCTGACGGATTTTGTGCAAGGACAGCTTCGGGTTCCGTTTCGCTTTGACCGATGCTTGCCGGAAGTACGCTTACTTACCGGAATTGTCGCCTCCTCCGCAGGCTCTTCGACTACGCGCGCAGCTCGACACAAAATGGAGAAAAAAAATAGGAGCCGAATTTTTGACCTCGGTGTCGTACCGACCCGAGGTAATTATTTATCAGTGTAAGAAAGCACTGTAAACATACTGATCTTGGTAACTAAAGCTATATGCACCGATTCCCCCCGAATGTACACATCTATCAGAAGAGAGTATTAGAAGAGAATATTATACAATTTATTAGAGAGTAATGTTTTTTGCGTGAAAAGCGGTTCATATAATCCCCGTCATCGCTTCAAGTCGGCCAACGCGTAATTCCAAGTATTTCTTCGCTCTCTTAAGGTGGCTCGAAACAGTTTTCAAAAACTCAGGTGTTCAACACTTTGACATGTTCAAACTACGCATTCTTAGGATTTATTCAGCACATATTGTTTTTTTTTTATATTTTGATATCTCTACTTTCAAATTATATTAGTTTTAGTAACAGATAGTTCGTTGCTATGACGACATACGTGTACGAAATTCACTCCAAAATGGCCTATCGTCTCGTATATTTGGAAAAGAAGCATGGTGACCCCCAATTTTTTTTCTTGCATTATTTTACTTGGACGAAAAGCTAACAATTAGCAAAATATAAAAAAATTCTGTAATACCATTTTTTTGGAAAATGCGAAAATGTCATATTCTTCGATAAAATTTTTTTGGCATTACAGAAATTTTTTATTTGTTGTATAATGAAAGTTTTTAGCAGTGCAATACAGCATGCAAAATTTGAACATAGGTCACCAGACAAAATAATGAGATATAGCGCATTGTTTTTCTAAAATGGAAAATTCTAATGACGTCAGCAATTGACATAAAACACTATAGAACACGCGCAATGACGTGAGATGGCGCGAGCAACTGCTCACGTCAGGTCATTTTGGAAGTTCTTTCATTTTGTCAGGGCGCAGTAAAACACCCTGTTGTGTTTTACTGCGCCCTGATTTTGTTAATCAGTTTCCGCGACCTGCTCGTAAGAATGGTCACCCAGCTTTTAGTTCGCAATTCTTGAGCAGGGTTTTTGTGATAACTATATCGAGCCACCTTAACAGTATATTTATATCGTAAAATCATTTCAATCCTAATTCGTCGAAGAGCTAAGGAATATTAGCTTTTGTAATAAATATATACGTTTTAACAGCACCGTAACTACCTGGGGGGTGGGGGTGTAACATGCATCCCCAAAGGAAAGTCAAAGAAAAGCCCAAGAATTTACAAAATTAAATAACTGCATCGATGATATTACAACACACCTCGCAAAATGCCATTTATCAAAGGAACGCATCTCGGAAAAAGAAAATGCAAAATATAAGTAACTCCGAATAACATTTTGATTTTTAATTGACGTTTCGACTAGTTTGTAGTCATCCTCGGAGTTACTGTTACTTTGTATGTATGTTAGGTATATTATTATACGTAATATAAGCCTTAATGTAATGTAAATTCAACCACAAACGCTTCGCAAAACATTTTAAAATGTTCTTTATAAAACTAAACTCAACCTTTATCGATAAACTTTGAGTTTGAAATAAAATAATTTCAAATTCTCGCATGCAAATAACTATGCTTTCTTTTTTATTTAAACATTTTAATAAAAATAAAAAAGGGTAATCAATAAAGATACACTGAAATTATAAGCTGTCTTTTTTCATTATACGTAAAGCGATCAGCTTTTACAGTGTTTTATCAAATATAAAGATACGAGGCGAAGCCGAGTATCTTTAGGTCTGATAAAACACGTACTGCGAATGTTTTAAAGGGGCAGTATGATCAAAATTTTTATTCTCTTAAACCAAAGCTTAAACGAAAATGCTCGTAAAACTGTATAATAACTTGTTTTGAAGATGTTTGTTCTCATGCTTAGTTCTTGAGATATTTCTTTTGTTTGTAACCATGTGACGTCATCTACTCAATTACATATAATTTTATAATGAGATATCAGTAATTGTTGTGTATCTTTGCTATTAATTGCAATTTACAAAATTAAATAACTGCATCGATGATATTACAGCACACCTCGCAAAATGCCATTTATCAAAGGAACGCATCTCGGAAAAAGAAAATGCAAAGTAAAAGTAACTCCGAATAACATTTTGTTTTTAATCGACGTTTCATCTAGTTTGTAGTCATCCTCGGAGTTACTGTTATTTTGTATATATGTTAGGTATGTTCTTATACGTAATATAAGCTTCAATTTAATGTAAATTCAACCACAAACGCTTCGCAAAACGTTTTAAAATGTTCTTTATAAAACTCAACTCAACCTTTATCGATAAACTTTAAGTTTGAAATAAGATGATTTCAAATTCTCGCATGCAAATAACTATGCTTTCTTTTTTATTTAAACATTTTAATAATAATAAAATAGGGTAATCAATAAAGATACACTGAGATTATAAGCTGTCTTTTTTCATTATACGTAAAACGATCAGCTTTTACAGTGTTTTATCAGATATAAAGATACGAGGCGAAAACTTAAAAACGAGGCGAAAACTTAAACGTTTTTGTTGGAAAACTCTGTTTCATTCTTGTTGCAAATTGTTTTGGTCAATATTTTATTTCAAAACCTAGACGATAACGCGTTTGTAGCGCCTGATTTAAAAAATATAGTCGCACGCTCGCAATCATACGGGAAATCAATACAAAAATATTTTCCGACGGATTGTGCAGAAAATCAGACTCTCCTAACGCGTTATCTTCTAGGTTATAGAATAATTAATAATACATTGACCAAAACGACTTTCAACAAGAGCGAAAAAGAGTTTTCCAACAAAAACGTAAAGCAGAGAAAATATAGCAATTTTTAGTCTTATTGCAGTCAAATTAGATTACTCAAATTTGTATACGCGACATAGGGAAACATTTCAAACATGGATATTTTCCGTTCTAGGTCGAAATTCAAAAATGCCAACAGCAAAGTTTTAGATTTTAATGCGCTGCATCATAATCGTTTGGTTTTAAATTAAAAACGCTAAAATCGAATGTCACGGAAGACCGAGAAAACGGCAATATATTCTAGCTCGCCTTGGTGTAAATTTCTCGTTTCCTGCATTGTGATTAGCTGAGAACGAAAGTGTAAACAAATGCGCTGATTGGTCGACCACGAAATCTGCCCTTGTTCGTCTTACATACTAACAGGTTATATAAATGAAATTAGCGAAAACCTTTCCTCGAGAAACACAACAAACAAGAAAGTCGAATCTGAAGTATTTATCCTTGTTTGACGCTACAGAAGAAACTTATATGAATGCTCACGATATAAGTACAAACGTCTAAAAAAGCGTGGTAGCAGAAAAGCATTGAAATAAAAACAGGGTTCGTAGCGGTCTTTGAAATCCCTGAAAGTCTTTAATTTTCAATGCAGGTCTTTAAAGGTCTTTAAGGTCTTTGAAAAGTCTTTGAATTGTATGAAAAAGCGAAGAAAGTCTTTAAAAGTCTTTAAATTCTTTAGTGAGTATTTGATTATACGATTTCCTAGCTAATAAAATAGATTATTTGATTGAAGCAAGATTTTCGCAAATATCGATGAATAGGTGCATTTTAGGATGTGATTTCACGGGACTAATTACCGGGTAAAAATAGTACTTTTCCGGGTAAAAATGGTTATGGTATTTTCCGACACCTGATTGCTCTCAAAGGTCTTTGAAACGTCTTTAAAAATAGGCGGAAAAAATCTTTGAAAGTCTTTGAATTTTTTTGGTCTTGGAGACCACAAACCTTGAAAAAGTTTAGGCCAGGCGTCTCGGCTTTGACAAATACAGTTGCTTTTTAAACAGACTTTGACTTTGGACTGGTGTGTGTACATCGTGCTTAGTATGAAGTCTTAAGCAGTTGATGCAATGCAATTCGCATTATTCTGACTATAACTTAGGCTACGGTTTTCAAACTTTTTGGGCAGATCTTTTAGTTTAAAAATTGTTTCACTCCTTGGTTTTGGCACGAATACCAAACCAGAGCGGGAATTTGCGTTTCAGAGCGGGCCGGATGCAAAGAAAAACCCGCTCTGAAAGGCAATCAGATTGCTTCACTTTCACCAATAAAAAATAAAATTCTTTAATGTTGTCTTGGTCGGAGATGTAGTCGATCATGTACATCGAGATTTGGTAAAAGATTATGATCAGTATATATATGAAGCAAAATTGCCATCATGCATGCATGATAACAGTTATTTCCAGGAAGTGATTTTCGAGATGCATTGCGTGTAGACTTGCATCAGGAATATGCCCATTGACAGAATTTTTTGCCCTTTTGACAACATTGCTTTGCAACATGCATATGGATTTTTTTCTCACTCGCTCACCTACAGATCGCCTTATTCTCCGCTGCTAGGACGCGCCAAAGATTCTTCTTTCAATTGTAGTTTCGATCGGTTTAGCTAGACCACATAAAAATAAACTGTGAACCTTACCTTGTTACTTTATCCAATTGTTAAACGATACTTGCGTGGGCGGAAACTTTGAGCAAAGGATTATATTTATATTTTTAGACCTATAAGCCATATGGCAGATGCGGAAAAGTTCTAGTATAGGCAGGAATCGAACCTGTTGTTCTGCGATTTCGGCAGCGTTTTGAACACTGAAAATATTTGTTTTAGTTGGAAAATAACTATTAGTTTTTAACCGACAACCCACTGAAACACGTCGTCGTATGTGTATGAATTCCTATAGTATAATTAATGAGTAAAAACCGTAAACTATATGCTTGCTTTGTCTCTACTTCAAAAACTCATTAATAATTCATGAAGCAATTATCCAATCTTGAATAAGAAATTAGTCACGTGCATACGTCTTTATACCAGCTAAAGAACACTTTAACAAAGGCCATTGTTATGCAAACTATATAAAGATTTTTATGTAAAGATTTTTATATAAAGATTTTTATATAAAGATTTTTATATAAAGATTTTTATATAAAGATTTGACTTATTATGCAAACGTTTTTGAAGCCATTTAAAAAACTCGCAGGTCGTGTTTTATTAGCTCTAAAGCCACTCGCGCTGCGCGCTCGTGGCTTTAAACCTAATAAAACACACCTGCTCGTTTTTTAAATAGTACATAATACACAGAATGTAACTTGTTTTTTAGGTAGATGGATCAGATGTATTTACATCTTCAGTAGTAACAGATAGAACATATCCCTTCCAAGAGCCACTTATTCGACCAAATAGACGCAATTTTTATAAAGCTGGTTACTATCTTACATTTCCCATCCCATACACGAAATCTCTGCGTATTGTCTTGAAATGGAATGGAACTTCTGAACTGAATGACGATGAACTATGGAATATGACGACAAATTGCAAGAAAAACAAAAAGGGTTGTCCCATTGTGTTGTTTCATTCAGTCATAGCAAATAAACTGGTTCATGGAGCAAAAGTTAAGAGCAGTTTTGAAGATTATTTTTCTGAAGAGTCCACAAAACCAAAAACTAAACTTTTAAAACGTGTGACGACCACTGTCTCAGAAATGGTGAAATCACCCGAGATATATGGACCTGGTATGAGGTCAGGGTGTAAGCTTACCTGTCAAAAGGTTTTATCGGGAAGTGAAGTGGAAATATACAATGTTAGAAACACTGCTAAAGTTATCCAATCCTTACTTTTCCGTGTCTACGACATAAAACAGGGAAAACTTGTTTCCTCTGAAAATTGGAAGAGAGTGCTAATCACAATGACGTGGGATGGGAAAGACGCACAAGTTAAAGAAATTCCATTAGCTGGAATATTTAGTGTTGGCCTGGATTACCTTCGTGAGGTGCAAAGCTTGACTGCTGGTTTTAAGAATACGACGTGTGACATACAAGGGCATCGTGCGACTGAAATAGCACTTCGTGACTGGCTGGCGTTTCTTCTGTATGAAATGCCTTTCTGGAAGTCTGCAAAGATCACTGTCGGAATTCCAGCGGGACATCAATCAGCCATAATTTGCACTCAAGTTTCTACAAAAGAATTGAGTTTGGACAAATATCATCCACGTCTAACGGGATATTTTAGTGCACAGTTAAATCAGCAAGGCTTTGATTACTTGCACCATAAAACCATGTTCCATCTACAAAAGCAGTGGGGACATGTAGTTGCCATTAACTTTTTCCTGAGAAATTTAATGATTGCGAGTACACATGAACTCGATATTATTATTGAAATTGATGAAACTGACTTGCCAGTATATCCTGGTTCAGGCCTTGAAGATTTCTTTCATTATTTGCATGACTTTCAGCCGTACCGAAACACATCCTCGGTGTTTAATGGTAACCCATACTACCAAAGACGTGGTCGCTTTAGGATCTACCGGTGTTTTCGTCATATGTTATTCGATCCAATCTTGTTTACTACTGGCATTCGAATCTACCTGGAATCACAGATGAATCGAGAAAATGTTCGCACCATACGCAAGTTTTTACCTACCTCCTCGTCATTCAATCAAACTATTTTACCAGATTCCCTTTTAACGGTTGTTTTGTTTTATGGAAGTAAAGGTTCCGGCGGAATAACAACAGACAGCATAACGTACGGAGAATGGAATCGAAGTTTGGCCCTTGAGTTTCAGTTCAGTCCACAAAACATCCACAGCTTTCCAGTTTACACAATGTTTGAAAACGAGCCAGGGGTGATGGTCAATAGAACTGTCGTTTCTTTGAAACCCGGTCAGCAAGTAACACACACATTTAAGATCGCAAGGAATAACGTTGGTGTTATTCTTCGAAAAGAATATCGCACAATTGTGCCAAACCAGAAAGCTGACGTGAAAGTTGATGGAGAAGATGCAGGATTATGGTTCAGCCCTCAGAGAGCCTTAACTGAAGCATTCTCTTTGCGTATCCACGACTATCTCCTACCTCCAGAAAAAACAGCAAGAAAAGATTCAATAAACGTGGTGCTAACTGCTATTACACGTTGGGAAATCATCTCTATAAAAGTAGTTTCAGTCATGCTGACAAATTGACGTTGGCATTAGCTCCGAAATTATAGTAACACTGCACATCAATTTCAGTTAGTGGATGTATTTACTAGGAATAGCAATATTTCACTAAATACGAAATGAATAGCAAGCTTTCACTGAGTAACTACTGGGTAATGTGAAAATATTCCCTGAATATTTAGACGATTTTGAAGAATGAAAACCAATTTTAGTTTCAAAACATAGCGAAATGCAAAGTGATCGTCCATTTTGTCATATACGGTTGGTACATTATGCGCATGTACGAGTACAATCCCAGAATAGACTGGTGTCTGGTAACTATCAAGCTCATAACTGACTAAGATAAAGACTTTGATATTTAATGTACAGGTCACAAATTTAACTGTCATTTTACTTATTTTTTATCAAGTGTCATATTTTTATAATTTATAAGAATTTAATATCCGTAAAAACAACAAGTAAGGATGCTTCTTGGAAATTTGAAATGAAACACAGAGTTTCGAAAGTTGCCAGCTTAAAGGGAAACAATGATAAAAACTATATAGAATGCATTCGAAGTCAAGACGAATACGTATGTAGGTAAGTAATACATTTTAAGTAGTAAATTGCATAATAATTATATTCGCTTTATACGTTGCTGGATTTGTTCATATAATGTGAAATCTGTCATAAGAGATAATAGTAGTTTCTTACAAATATGCAACAAATACGTCTGGAGAATATTTTTAATATATAAGCGTATTTTTACCGTCAGGGAATAAAATTAACACTAGAGTTTTATTTATATTACTTTTTAAATTTTTCCACTTTGTACGAAAATATAGTGTGTAAGAGGTATTACCAAGCTTTACAACGAATATACAGAAAAAAGTCAGTGGCCCTGTGATTAGAAGAAGGGAGAATGGACTTGATCCGCAAATCGAGGAAAATTAATTAAAGATTATAATCTCACTTTTGACTGTATTAGTACAATCAAAATAGAAAATAGGTAAGAAAAAATTAGAAAAAAGCCAAAAATTAGCGTATGCACTCTCTTCAGCAACCTTGATAACATACTAAAAGTCCTCATGTATCCTCTTGGAGCTGTCTCCATTACAACAAGTTTTTTGTTCGATTTCCCTAGTGAACTCCTATATTGTTAAAAAAGTGAAATTTCAGATTCATTTATAGGAAAAATAAGTTACATCATTAGAAAACTTACAAAAAACTACATATAAGACATTTTTAAACGGCTACCTTGATTTTGCAAGTTCTTGAGTTACGAGCTGTTGGAAACGTGTTGTCAGCTAGTGCCCAGGATTTTTGCCAGATTTTGGCCTAATTGTCACATTTGGAACAGCAATAACTCGAAAACCGCTTGAAAAATTTAGGTGACTGTTTGAATGTCTTATATGTAGTTTTTATGAGCTTTCTAGTGATGCGAGTCATTTTTGTTATGCATGAGTGAACTTGAGAGGGCCTCTCTATAAAATCCTCCTACTGGTTTGGGGAAGGAAAAATAGATTTAGCTCATATTTTGCATATGAACTAGACTTTGGTCAATATTAATCGAGCTTCTTTCAGAACGTTTCAACTTTCTGTTTTATAGGAGTTATATAGCCCATGTTGAAATTAGACCTTGCGAGAATATTTTCAGACCGGAAATGAAGGGAATTTCACAACAATTCATCTGATTTTTTAAAAACTTTATGATGCGTTATCCCCTCCAGTTACTGTTCAAATGCAAGATTAGCACTAATACTCTCGTTTTCATGGAGATTGAACAACTTTATTTGCTTAACACGATTTTTTTATAGTTTTACGAAACTATGTTTTCAAGATGGCGACGAGAGGCTGAAAATTGTTCATATTTTACTTAAAATAGCTCAAAACTGGCATCTATCTGAATTCTGAAGTTCAAAAGGCATGTAATTTGAAAGTATACCTACTATAGTTAAGTAATCAGGAATAAAACTCGTCTGCAAGCAATTTTCTGAAAAGTTATAAATCTCCAAATTGGGTCTATTTTTAGCTGTTTGTTTACATTCGCGTGTTCGCTGATCAGCGATACTAGTAATAATTAAAAAGTTAAATAAGCTGGTTTATTATCCAGGTTCTAATTCACAACATAGCTAGAAACATTCAAAATACAACCTTAACCATTCTTGGCTTATTCGCATGAATAATTTCACGACTGTTAAATATCTTTTTAAAGTATAAACGGGCGGTACTTTCTGTGATTGCAGCAAATTTCAAAGCTGTCGGCAGTATCTCTGGCTGTATATAAAAAGTATTCGGTGCTTTAACTTTTCTATTCAACTCGTCCCGTAATCTTTTTCTGACCCTGTAAATGGAAATTTTGCCAAAAAGGTCGGATATTAATTCTTGCTGCATGGATGCAACATATTTTTTTAAATAATTGCAGTCAAAATACTACAACCTTCCCACTTCCGCTTTCGTAGTCTGTTGTCATTTACTATTTTGTTTTATATTTAATATTAGTGCGGTTGCCGAATTATGGAGAACAAGACGCTCTACGAAGCGTTAACTCGCTGGGGCTCTACTAGACTTGGTTGAAGTCCGTCTCAGGAGAAAACTAGGGAGAGACGGACTTGGGACATTTGCGCGAAAATTTGTTGTTCTCATCTCGCAAGCCACGCCTCCGTAGGAAAAATCCGCGCGCTTGCAGGGTATCCAAGTCCGTCTCTCCATTTGAACCGTAGTCTAGGGCTATACAAATACGCATATTACTGTACATGCTATTTAAATTAGTACACAGTACACAGCTATTTCAATTAAGATTTTCCCCGAGCTAAGCGAAAAAGTCGAACACCGGCGCGAAAGGCTTAACACAGTAGTAAAATGCGGTAGGCCCTACAAGTAAAGTTATATTTTATAGTACACTACATTCTATTTTCAGAAAAACAGGAAACCCCCTGATCCAGGGTACCGCCAGTTGGTCGGTACGCTAGGACTTAATAAACTGCGCTTCAAAATAAAATATTTTGGGTCTTTTGGGCTCAAAATACTATCAAAATGAAGAGAGAAGTGAGACGAATCCACTGGCATACGGCCGGAAAAGTGATACCAAAGTTATCAAGAATCAAACGTACTGCATTTTTTTTATAATTAGTTTAATAATTTTGAGCGATTTGTCAACAACACAATTTCGCTTGGCTTTCAAAGACAAAGGCAATAAATCGCTAGAATACTTTTGTTTAGTAATACTGTACATTATTTGACATCCGTAATTAGTGCAATTTCTGACGCTGAAACGAACGGTGGTATTTTTATCCTTATTGCACCATTTAGGCATTACAAATACGCTATGAAATGTACTGCGAGTGATTTGTCAACAAATACAATACATACTGCGAGTAATTTGTCCTCGGTCAACACTACAATTTCGCCTGATTTTCAAAGGCCATAAATCGCTATAGAATACTGGTGTTTAGTAATACACTTGACATCCGTAAGAACAATTTCTTAGGGGCGGAGCATTTGATTTTTGAGGAGGGGGGTGGAAGATTTCGGAAAACAATTTCCTGCAATCCAAGAAGAAAGAAAAAAAAATCATGCAGCAAACAATCGAGAAAAAACATATCATGCAAAGGAGAGCGCTCAAAGAAAAATTCCTACATGTAAATCTACTGACGTTCTTCACTTCAGTATTGTGTCCACAGGCTTGCAAGATGTTGCATTTTTGAGCAGGCACATTTGCTTAAAATAACACGGAGTCACATTTCGTTTTTAATACGTTACTTATTACGCGCACGAACACTGTAACGTGACAGTAATTCATTGTTTACGTTTAAATTTTACTCAAAATCCAGTAATTGTTTATCAAGTTTTTGAGCTTTGTAACATTGCAATGACAATTTCATTGAATAATTACGATTTTAAAGCGAAATAATTCAGTTGTTGTAGCTATTGTTGTACTTTTTGATGGATATTATATATGTTTGAAACGTTTGGTTTGAATTGTGTTTACATCGTTCAGCACTTAAATTTCACTCTAATAGATAATAACTCATATAATAAACAAATTACTTCATGGTTGATTCGCTTGTACGATTTTTATTATGCACTCGTTGCGAAAAATTCCTATAAACTCACTCGTTCGCTGCGCTCACTCGTTCGTTTATAGGAATTTTTCGCAACTCGTGCATAAAAATCGTACGCGCTCATCAACCATGAAGTAATCTCTATATATATATATAGAATACAGAGCAAGAAAAATTGTTAAAACTCATGTAATTGTATGTTAGTACAAGATATTGCACGCCACAGGAGGCCCTAAACCGCCTGCGATAATCACGAAACAGTGTTAAGTACTATTTAAAGCACGCGTAGGAGTGTTTTATCACATACAAAACACGACGCGTAGCGGGGTGTTTTATATGTGATAAAACACGACTACAAGTGCTTTAAATAGCTTAAAGGCCTTATGCAACGAATTTTTCGATGGTGAGATTTTTGCACATTATTAAAATTTAATTTTTTCTGATCATTTTGATACCAGTCTCGATGCGAAATTCAAACTAGAAGTTAGTGAATTTTGTATTTCAAGATGGGTCCCTCGTGCGAAAAACTGGCTCGCGCTGTGACGTCACAGTAATGAGTCGTGCTGTGTGTAAACGAAGGATTAACACGTTTTACATAAGGTCCGTCGAAAACAACTTGCAGAAATCGTTATATTGCAGCTCCCGTTCGGTTCTTTTGAGGTTTTACAATGTCAGAAAGCGTTACATACGACTCTGAAACCCCTATTAACAACAATTTGAGTTCAGAAGATGAATACGAAAGCGATACTGATTCCGATTACGGAGCTGTACAAGTCAATATGGGAGACACCGAGTCCATTCTTGCACCATACGAAAACGAGCCGATATTAACGCAGGACGAAATAGAGCAAGAATTCGAAGACGAAGTCGATATAGATGGCATTCGTATCAGTGCTTTTCAAGAGAGATTTGATAACGCGATTCCCACAAACGAATGGTATGTATAATTTAGCTAAATTATAGAATATAAATAATTCAACA